AAGGAAGGAAGGAAGGAAGGAAGGAAGGAAGGAAGGAAGATGGATGAGAGATTTATGCAAGCTCATAATAAAAGAGTTTATCACTTTCATCAACTGAAAGAATGATAGTACAAATAGCATTGTATCAATGTGGCACAATAGAAAGGCAATGATAAAAATCTAATGCAGCTCACAAATACTGAATTAAACCTAGAGATTTAGAAAAAATTATATGAATGCCAAATTGCAATGGAACTTAGAGAAAAATAGTTCTCCATACTGCAAAGGAGTGTTTAGATGAAAAGTTCCAATTAAAATTCTAAAGAATCCCAGTTAAGGGTTTTCAAAGATATGTAAACTTTCACTCTTTTCAAAGGTGTTAACTTTAAAACACTCCAGTCAACTAAACTATTTAATACAGGAAGTCAAGGAACATGTGGAAATATGAGAGATATACCTCCTAACGAAACTGAGCTGTTTCCCACCCCCATGGCCAAATAACAGTAAACAAAACTCTGCCCAAACGACTGAAGAAGAAAAATGCCTCTTGAACTTGTAGAAGATCTTACCTTAAAACCCACACACACACACCACAGGGGAATAATATTTTAAAATGGGAAAACTGAAGTCAGCATTGGCAGCAACTGCATTGTTCGCCCAATCGCTTTGCGTATTCCTTCCTCTGACTCTGGCAGGCAAGCAGTAGAAGATACAGTATTGCTCTCTGACTGGGCTGGTAAAGACTGGCTCCCATCCAGATCCATCCAGATAGAAATTCCTCACCCAAAAATATGTTTAACACTCAACCAACATAGATTGGAGGGCTACCAATAGAGTCTGTATAGATAATTGTAATTCCTCAATCGCAGATCTGTCCAACAGTACTGAGTTGATTAATGCTCACACAATTCAAAACTCACACACTGATTTAATTAAAGACCCCTGGGAAATAATTCGTACACTGTTGTGGCCCCAAATCCAGAATGAGCAGCAAGGAAAGTCCACTTGAATCATAGTGAGAAAGAGAGCCTGCACTTATTGTTCCCTCTGCCTCTGAAGGATGTTAACTAGAGATAGTTTTTAATACTACTAATGATCAGGACTTCTTTTCCAGACAGTTATCAACCCTTACAGATAAGGAAATAATGATCCTGAGTTTTCAGCCTCATGACGAAGAGGCAGTTTATCAAGAATATGGAAACTTAATAGATTTGGAAGACTGTGGTACTACCAGAGTATCCAACTGAAACACCAGTGGCTGAAACTCTGCAGATCCAGTTTAGCATCCTTTAAAGGCATTGTGAGGGTATCCATCTTGCAGAAGAACAAAAACCATTTTAAGGATGTAATGAACAAAGAAAAGGCAAAATTTCATTACTGTTTGGAATATTGTTAGCTGGATGTTCAAAAGCTCAGAGGTTGTACTTGTGAATTATATATCAAATTTTGACATAGGCTTGTGTCAAAAGACCTGCGCTCTAGGTACATTAGGATGAAATGGCTCTGTCTCTCCAGTGCTTAAAGCTACTTCTAGCACTAGTGTAATTTGGTTAAAGGGGTATCCCAAAAATCTTTGTCCCAAACAAAGTTTTCATCACTGGATTACAATCCTGAGCCAATTTGTTTCTAGGTAGTTTAGTCATATTCAAATTAAATACTTCCCAATTGTTAATATCTGCACTCCTCTACCATGGCTAATAACTAAGGCAAATTACATTGGGATAATTTGGAATAATATATTCACAATTTTTTGCAGGCTAATTCAGAAGCATCTGTTAACATAGCTGGGGATTTCAATGCTTGAATGAGTTCAAATGACACTAGGCTGTATGTATGGTTTAATAGCATACCACTGGATAGTGATGGGGATAATTATACTTTGGGTTGGAATTAAAAGATGGATTTGTGATATATAGGAGGATTATGCCTTGCCCAAACGGCAAATAGACTAGAACGAATGATTCAGAATGAACAAATGGAGGTTAACATAGTCATCAATTATAAGATCGTTTCATGTAAGTTGTTTTATTTGGTAGATGTGTTTAAAGTATGATGCCATTTTGCTGGGGACCACCAGCTCCTAACTTGAATTTTCAACTGGTTGATTCAAATCTACCTTTATTTGAATGACTAGCCCAGCAGAAATGGGCCATATAAGGGCTTGGTGGTTTTTCATGATGCAGAAAGCCACTTTGGGTCTGCTAGATTCAGGTTGCACCAAGTTAAATTAGCAATAATACCAGCAGACATGGCTGATGAGCAATTCTGGATACTAATTCAAACCCTGTGTAACCCTGTACCAAGACAATGTTCAGAGAGGTTGCAAATGTCCAGCTCTGAGGGCTGGTTTGATCATGAATGCAGGAAGACAAAAAAAGCCCCAATAACCAGCTACAAGGCACACGGGAGGGAAAACTGCCCCGTTCTTCCACAAATGTTGTGCCTACAGAAAATACAATATAAAGCTTTAATTAGAAAGAAAAAGATGAACACCCTGAGAGAGAAGTGGTAGCAAATAGAATCAGCTGTTACGCTGAAAAAATCTGCCAATTTTTGGCATTTGATTAGAAGGGGGTTCATTACACAATGGACCCACAATTGACTGTGGAATTTTAGCAGACATTTGGGAGAAATATTTTAGTTCCATCTTTGCATTAGCTTCTGGAAATAAGTTCCTAATTGAACCTATTACTAGAACGGTCCCTTGTTCACTTCCTCAGAGATATTTAAGCTTATTTCACAACTGAAATCAGGAGAATTGCTGGAAGCTCATATAGAATTGTAAATCCTTACACTATATGGACCATGCAGCATATATACCTAAAGATTGGGGCTTGTGATAATTATACTCTTTTTAAAAATAAGACTGACCCTGCAAATTATAGACCAATCAGTTTACTGAGTGTAAAGCAAATGTTTTACCAGACCCCTGAACTGCAATTTTGTAAATTGGCTGGCTAGAGAGAACATTCCTGTAGACAAATAAGCAGAATTCAGGACGAACTGAGGATGATCTTTTCAGATAAATTATTGAAATTTAACAGAGGGATTCTGTATACAGTCTTTGTATACAGAATCAAATATATACAGGTTTCAAATGTGCATTTGACTCCATTTTTAGAGACAAGGCCTGGAAGGGTCTTGTGTTTTCTGTCATCTGTTGATAGCTACCTGCTATAGCATATTCAGTGAGTTTGTGAAAATATCTAAGTGTGAGTCACGAATAACCACTGGGAACATTTGTCAGGGGCAGTTCTGACACAGAAGAGTGTGAGGAAAGTATGTATATTGGTCTCCACCCATTTAATTTCAGTATAAATTCATTGATAATAGGCCTCTCTAATCCAGAGTATCATTACCCTAAATTAGCTAATAGAGCTGTATCAGTTTTACCATATGCAGATGAGGCAAGATTTCTTTCAGCATCCCTTGACAGAATAAGGAGAACACAAAGGCTGGATCTCTCATTGCATAGCAACTGATCATAATTAGGCAAAAACAGAGGTCTTAGTCTTTGGAGAGAGAGAGAGAGAAAGAGAGAGAGAGAGAGAGAGAGAATGAAAATTGCATAGGTGGCAAATTGTCAGACATGCACTAGAACAGATTGGTGTGTTCTTATCCTAAAGGCCCATATAAAGTATTCTGTATAGAATTAGGCTGAGCGTAATCCTTAGATTCTTTCACACAAGAGGTGGCTTCTGTGCTCCAGAGCCTTAAAGATATATAAAATCATTCATTCTAAATTTTTATACTCTACTTTTGCAGCTGTCCAGATGTATCCCAAATACGGCCTATGTTTAGAAACATAGAATTATGATAGAGAGATGGTCTGGACACCAGTGTTTAATTTGTGGTTAAAGCTTATGCCAGCTGCTTTCTGGTAGATACCTGTATCCATACTTGGGTAAGACCTCTAACAGAGAAGCTTATGGCTTTACACCTGATTTCATAGATCTTGGGTTATGAGAATGTAAAGAAAACTATCAAACAATGAATTTGGGATATTGAGCTCCAAAGAGATATAAGTTATAAGAGACATTATCATGCATATATTCTTATATGTTTAGCCATTACTGCTATTCTACTGTATTGCCACTTCTTTCCATTCATCATGGCTGGATCAGGCTAGGTTGGAGTGGGCATCCAGACCAGGAAACTTCTGGGCCAAGTTTCAGTACAAGGGGAATGTGGTAGGTTGTTCTTCTTCCCAGACTCCATTATGAGCATCCATAGAAAAGGGCACGAAAGAAAGAGTCTTCTAGGGAAACTAGTTGAAAAGAACAGAAGCTACTGTCCTTGAGAAATATATTTAGAAAATGACTGGTAATTGGTAATTGATACATTCATTTTATGGGAGGCATAACTGTGATTCAATAATCCTTGTTTTCATGACATGGCAGCGGAGAGAGATCAGCAATTTTGAATACCTTATGTACCTGAACACTCTGGCTGGACGTACATACAATGATCTCATGCAGTATCCAGTGTTTCCGTGGGTTCTTGCAGACTATCATTCCCAGGTGAGCCATTTCTGTAATGCTGGACTGTGGCTTTGTTGAAAGTATTTTCTGTGTACTGTTGTTTCTGTCAGTTACTGGAATTCCTGCCCCAGTTTGCCTGTGAGTAAAATTATTTTGTGTTTGTATTCCAGACTCTAGACCTGACAAATCCAACTACCTTTCGTGACCTCTCCAAACCAATGGGGGCACAGACAGAGGAGAGAAAAGAGAAATTCATCCAACGCTTCAAAGAAGTGGAGAAGACTGAAGGTACATGTCTCATTTCCAACATCACTATGGTGTACCCCAAATCTCCTGTCATTTTTGCAAGGCCAGAGAGTTGTCTGGTCTAACAACAAGCAAGTCTACAACAAGATTATGGAAGCGACAGGAGAGCCGTCCTTACAAAACCCAGAATAGAATTAGGAGCTGGGCAGAATGGGGAGTAGCACTGGCAAGTAAAGCCCAGGAAACCTGGCTTGACTAGCCTGTTCCCTAACCATCTGTTAGCTCTCATCTGGGGTGTGCTTCTGAATTCTTACTGAAATGTATTTATTTCTGAAATTTCAGTAACTTAACTTCAGTGATCTAGGGTAACTTAACTTTCCTACATAACTTTATTTTAATAGAGTAAAATTGCAACTATGGATAGTGGATCTTGTGCTGCCAGGTATCAGCATATTTCCTTTCCGTGGTTCTGTAAATATGGAAGCAGGACACTCAAAGTAAGTTTGATTTGATAGTCCAAAGTCCCTCCTCAGATCCTTGTATCTGCTGAGTCTGGCGGTTGAATTTCCTTCCAGAAACTGGCTAGTTCTGCTGCTGGAATGATTTTGACCAGAGGTTGCAGGACACTGCAACTTATTAAACCAAGCTGGACCAAATTCAGTTACTCTCTATAAAGTAAGCCTTGCTCGCAAGATGTGAAAGAATTCCATACATGTGAAAATGCTGGGGGCCTCAACTGAAATTGGGAGCTTGCGCTAATCTTTGAAAGGAACCTCCTTTCTTTAATTGTTTGTCTTAAATCTTTCTGTGTGCTTGCTTAATTGTAGCACCACAAGGGCTCATCCTCCTGCATTTTCTTTCAAATAAGCCGTTTGATCACTACAAGAAGTTCTGAAATGAATTCTGCCTCCTTTTTATTCATTCCGGTTTACTTCCTCTTCCGTGTCATCCCAAATGGGGCAAATTAAAGGAATGACCAGTTGTAATACCACCAAGTTATTTTGAGATTTTAGCCTTTAATGCTTTAAGAAAGTGCTTCTCAAAACTTCTAAAATCATGCATGGACCACTAAAGAAATATTTGGAAAACGTAGAGCCCACCCATATTTAACAAAGTTTCCCCTTGTGCCTTAATGCACATGGGAGTTCATATTTTTGGCAAATAAAATATGATTATACTTGGAGTTCTATATGCCTGGTTATCCCTTGCCTTTTTAAATTAAATTCTGTACAAAATTTTGAATCCAAAATTATTTATTTACCACTTGAATCATGTACTAACGTATCTTAATCCTAGCTTGATGAAATCCTATTTTTAAAGATCCATTGCTGTATTTCCTGTTTACATTTGTCTGGAAGAGGTTGCTTATTGAAGAACACAGTCCCACAGCATGGGACATACAGACACAGAATTGCACTCACAGTCTGTTCACTGCTGTCTGTGTTCTTAATTTTAGTACACATGTTCATAGAATCAAAGTCTTGGAAGGCATCACAGAGGTCACTTAGTCCAACCGCCTGCTTGTTGCAGGATCCACTAGAGCATCTCTGACAGATGAACATCCAGCTTCTGTTTGAAGACTTCTGGCAAAGAAGAAATTACTACATCATGTGGCGGCCTATTCTGCTGGCTGACAGCTTGCATTGTTAGGAATTTCCTCCTGACATCTAGCCTGAAACTCCTCATTTTAGCCTTCTGGTTCTGGTACCGCCTTCTGGGGCAGTCCATTCCTTCTTCTGTAGGAGAACCCTTCAGATATCCGAAGATGATCATATCTCCCTTCACTCGTTTTTCTGTAGGCTAAACATTTCCAGATCCTTTAACCATTCCTCATAGGGTTTGCTTTTTAGACTTTTCACCATCTTGGTAGCTGTACACATCTGCAGGAGGGGACAAGAGGGACAACTAACAAAACCTGCATTGTGACATTACAACACAAACCCTGTGACTTGGGTACTTGCACCTTGCACAGGACGCAAATACGAAAGGCTGAGGGACGCACTGTGACATTGCCATGCTAATTTTGTCATTTTTGCAGCATCACAATTTGTATTAGACAACTTACGCATTTGTTGTTTGTGTGCTGCCTATGATTTAACTAGCATCTATTCAGTAATTTTAAAATTCTCAGTTCATTCTCCATATACGTATTAATAGGCTACAGGGGCCGCCCTCACTTGCCCTAATGTTCAGGATAATATTTTGGACAGAACCAGCCAACTTGCCCACACTGGCATGACTTTTGTGTACCAGCATGTTTGCTGTTGGTGACAGCTGTTTCCTTAAAACTTGAACCATTTTTGGTGTGGGCAGAGCTCACTTAAGTAACATAGACAATAGGAGTCACTTCAGATTTCCTTTTGCAACAGCAACAGTAAAGCACCACAAATTATTCCCAACGGGCAGATGATATTCATCTAAGAAGGTCTCACAGAAATACAAAAGATACAGCACAAGCCAAGACCTTATGGATAAATTGCTGTATTTATCGGCGTATAACACTCACTTTTCCCCCTAAAATTTGGGGCTGAAATCCTAGTTGCATGTTATACGCCCTGACATACACTCCCGAGAGCAAAGGAGAAACGGGCTTGGAACAGGAAAGGGCAGAGCGAGGCGCCTCCCTCCGCACCAAGCTGACTTTGCCTGGGCTGAGGGACCGCGCAGTCTGGAGAGGTGGGCGTCGCATGCTGCGCCACGCCGCTCTGACAGGGCTGCTGGAGAACTCGGGTCCCCAGACTCTCCCGTGCTCCCAACAGCGCAGTGCAGCCTTCGGAGGCAGATCCCCTCGCCGGGGGGGGGGGGGTACAAAAATAAAAACCTCACACGCGCACACGCACACATGCAACGCTCACTTCTCTGGACTGCGCGATCCCTCAGCCTGGGGAAAGTCAGAGATTCGGTGTGGAGGGAGGCGCCCTGCTCTGCCCGGGAGCTCCTGGCTTTCCTGTTCCAAGCCCATTTCTCCTCCACTCTCGGGAGTCTCTCAAAATCACCAAGCGGCAGGGAGGAATAAAAACCGCACAAATACACGTGCCCACGCAAACACACACACACACACACACAGACACTGGCACTTAACTCTTCCTCCTCCAGGCACAGCGCGCTTGGGACAGCGGCTGGTTTGCAAAGTCGGAGGCCTGGGGAATGGCTGGCGCGCAGCTCCC